AGCGTCCTTCCGCCGGTAATGCTTGCAGTGAAAAGGATTTAAGTATGTATGACGGTGTATGTGGGCGTATGTATTAACAGCTTGATTTTTTCCGCACTCATCCGTAGTTCACATTTTTTCCGCACGCCGTTTTGTGGGCTTCCAATGAGGCTTTACTCTTTTCTCCGTACGCTTTTCGTTTTTTCTGGGTTTTGCTTGCTTTCAGTGGTTTTTTCTGTGGCTCTTTTGGCTTTCAACACCTGCCACGGGGCGTGAATTAAGTGCTTTAGATTTTCTTCATTTAACACTTAATTCTTTGCAACCCATGAAGAGGGGCGTGTTAACAGCGGAAATGAGTTTTTTTTCCTGCAATTGCGGCTGTTGAGTTGTTAAGTACGTGTCGAAACGATTTCATTACTACAATTTAATTTTTTATTTAAAATGCAATAACAGTTAGAGGAGGAGAGAGGGAGAGGAAAGTGATGACGAGAACAGAAAAGAAAAAGTTACAATGTTATATTTTTATTGGTGACTGCAATATTCTCTTTATCCCGTTCTATAGTGGGAGTGTGAAGAGCTAAGAACCCGGGTCACATGAGAGTTACTGTAGCTGAAAGCTTTAAGTCCGCGTGTAGAGATATACCGCCAACGCAACTGTCGCAATAAAAATATAGCCATACTCAGCGATAGCCAAGTTGCCCTTATAGCGACCTCAGCTTACGAGATTTAATCGCTACTAGCGCAGGAGTCCATAAAATGTCTGAAAAGTGTATCAGGTCGCAATCAAGCAAACTCACTGACAAGATATCCCGCTCTGCAGCTGCTACTAGAATGTTAGGACCGGAATACTGTATTGCGGTTGGTCCTCACCCCATAAAAGAGCTCCTCCACAAGGATGAAAGAGTGGTCGGGGTAAGTATTGGCAACAACTGGGCAAAGTTACTGTTAACTGGTTATAACCTCGTTAGGTTTAAAAATGTAAACATCCCCAACCATCAATCGATGAAATCATAATTTGATGGTCGTGATGTATTCTTGCTTTCCTCAAGGGTCCAACTTTACCGTCTCGTGATTTTAATAGATCGCAGCCTAAAGCTACAAAAGCTGGCATTTGTAATAGAAGCTTAGTTCATGCGTGCATTTCCGTTCCATGTACCCTGTACTTTTGGCATAGGGTTCTTCTTAGAGGAAATAAGGCGTGGGTGCAAGAGAACGATCAGAACATTATTTTAGATCATTTTGACGGCAGTTTCTTGCTAAACATGAATCATTTTCATATATCTTTCATCACACAGACTCTCAGGGCCATCAAAGTTGGCTAGGTCATGTTGTCCGAATGGACGAAAAGGCTCCAGCTCTCAAAGTATTCGATGCAGTACCCACCGGGGGAAGCCGAGGAAGAGGAAGACCTCCTTCTCGTTGGAAAGGCCAGGTGGAAAAGCACCTGGCTTCGCTTGGAATCTCTAAATGGCGCTACCTTGCGAAAAGAAGAAACGACTTACCCGCTATTGTTAACTCGGAACTCTTACTAATCGGCTATCGTAAAGTTAAAAAAGGTTTCGCCTGAAGAGAAATAAATCCCTTTGAAAACGAGCCCTCACTTGACGAACACTTGTGGATTTAAACGCGTTTATGTATTACCTCACTTCCGCACTAGCGTTGTAAGCCCCCCTCCGGCTCCAATCGCATTGTAAGCAACTAGATAAGTACATACATACATATAAATAATGTCTCACTTTTTGCCTCACATTTTGCTGTCGCCGTCCATTTTTATGAATGAAAACCGTAAAAGGCAAAAACGCAGCGGTTTGCTTTTCAAGTTAGTTCCAGAGTGATTTGTACCAACGAAAACAAAACAAACAGTGCAACCACAGTGCAACAAGAATAAAACGCAAAAACTCACGCAACAACAATGCGAATTGGCAGCTGAGTAAAAGCAACAAAGCGTGAAGCGCTTTTCAGCAGCAGATGTTGGTTTTTGTTGCTGTTATTGTTGTTATTGTTGTTTCTACTAGCTTTGGTCGAACTTAAGACTCTGCGTTGTTGCTGTTGTTTCTTCACTGCGCCCACATGGCGCGGCGCTGCCAGCAGCAGCATTGTAACAGCAGCTCAGAAACATGCGAGAGGCAGCACAAACAACAAGGAAAAATAAAAGCGAAAAGTGAAATAAGAGAATGAAAGAAAAATACCGGCATATCCGACACGCGGTCATAAATACGTGAAACGTACAAAGCGTCACGGCGCGACAGCACCCGCGCGATAACAATGCGCCAACAGCAACAACAGCATTGGCAGTGCTGACGACGGCGACAACAAAAACAACAGCCACAAACAACGTCGGCAACGACGCGACTTGGCGCGTCAACTTAGCGCACAACGAAGACGTTTTGCGAAGCTTACTTACTTCGCCTTTTCCGCTGCTTACACGCGCTTCCCTTGCACCGGCTGCTTCCTTGCGACGGCACCTTTGGCTCAACGCCTTTCTTATGCCTGCTGTAGCGGATGTACTTTTCGGTTTGGCGCGTATCGCTTCCCCGCCTTGCACAACTGTTGACAGCTGTTGTTGCTACTTTTGATGGCATCGCCGCCAAAAACGACCAAATAAGCGAGGTCATCAACGCCTTCGTCGTCATCATTATCGCTTTGGTAGCTGGAAAAAACAACAGCTGCAATAAAAAGCGGCAAAACGGAGTCAAAAGTTTGCACACATCTTGTTGTTGTTGTTGTTGTGACTTTTTAGCCAACTTCGCTGTGCAAAGGCGACTTGTTGCTCTTAGTTGTTGGAGTGATGTGTTTGATTTGTTGGTTGTTGGCATTGTGTTTGTAATCGGTTTGCACCTTGTTGTATGTGGGGAGGAGGGCATGAAGCCAGGCGTGCGAAAACAGCAGTCAGACGACATTTTTTGCTGCCAAGAAACAACGAAAGAAAGAGATGTAATGTGGAAGGTAAAGACGTCGCGGTCTTGAAAACGTTGGTGTGTGGAATGGTGCAATCACAAAGATGACTCTTGAGAGTGGTTCCTAACGGGTCAAGGACAGAACTTCTCTAACGTACAAATCGTGAAATTCGGTAGAATCTGTGCCTTAACTAGTCTAGTTCCACCTCGACAGATTCCCATCAGTGCAGTTCCGATATAAATGTGTGCCAAAAACAACTTCAGTCTCGACTTTTTGTCTTCGTTTCCGAACACTGTTGTCTGCCAACCACAAATGCTCGCTCAATTAGTTGCTTATTTGCCGAGAAAAAATAGGAAACTTTGCGGCACGCGTCTGGCACGACCTCAATCCAAGCGCCAGCGTCACCTTTGAGTGCTGCCAGCACGAATAAAAGGCAAAACAACAGAAAATAAAAACGCTTTTGTAACTTCATACCCACATACAGTTATATGTTTGCATGCGCATACACACACGCTTCGGGAAAGCCCAAGCAGTCAAGTGTACAAATGCGAGGCCAAGCCAGGCCAGGCCAGGCCAGGTTAGCGACGGCGACGTGACGTCTGTGGCGAGGGTGGAATCACCCACAACGAAGAAATTCGTAGACACTTGCCAGACACTTTGAAGCGCCATTCACTCACTAACATTACCCAACACACACACACGTGCACAAACAACCGGGTAGCATTGCTGTTAGTAAGAATATGGCACGACTTTGTTGGCGCAGCTGTCGTGTTAGAAGTAGTTGTGGAGTTGACTCCAAGTAAAAGTGTATGCCGTTGCGAGCGTGCATGAGTGTGTATGGTGTGTTTGTTGCGGTTTTGTGTGTAAAATGTGAAAAGTTTTGATATTTTTCTCAGAAAATGCCAAACGCTGCACACACAAACACACACATACCCACCTGCTACACTTTGACGACGCACTAGCGCTCCCTGCACGCCGCTCGCTCACTCACTCACTCTTCATTTGTGTGTCTAATGCCGCTTTTTGCTCAATCTGCCCTCCCATTACGGGCCCCAACACGTCGCTTTTCTTCATTCATTTCTTTGTTGTTACCCACAGTCGGTTTTATATGCGATTTTTCCTTTCCCACCCCACACACCCTTCTTTCCAAGGCTACCAAAGCTCTGCGCTGTGTCGAGTGTGCCGCTGTGTGTGTTGTTGCCTTGCTACTCACATACTTCGGGCGAATTCCTTTTTATTTACCACTTGGGAGGTATGCCAAGATAAAATAAAGCACTACGTGCCTTGTGCGTAGGGTGGGGGGGATATAAAACTCTCTAGCTGTTCTGGCTGTGGCGTGCTGGCCGATTTGCTCGTAAAGTGCTGGCATTTTGGCAACTGTTGATGTGCCACTGTGATTTTTACGAAGCTACATTGCTTCTCTCCCACGGCAGTTGGTTGCTGCTATTGTTGTTGCGCCTTATACTGTTATTTTATTTTTGCATTTCGGTGTATTTTTATTTTATTTTTCTACCCCAAAAGCAGCAAGCAGCAACAGGTTGCTATTTGGCCTGCTGGCTTGGCCCTTTGTCCGCAACGTTAAGCGTTTCTTTCACTCTGCTCCATTGTTCAGGCACTGGCTCTTTGGTGAGGTTTTGGTACAAGCAGTAAATATATTTTTTTCTTCCTAAATTACAGTGATTTAAGCTTTGCGGTGGTGCGAGGAAGCTATAAACACCGACTAAGTGGTTCGCTTTTTTCGCAGTCACTTAGCTCTGCTTAGCTTCATAATAGTCTTATTACGCTTGAAATATAGGAAAACACCCCGCTAACGGTTTTCTTGTGTATTTTTCTATTTCATTTATTTTTGTTTTTTTTTTTGCTTTTGCGTTTCTTTTGTATTTTTGTGAGCCGCTGAGCTTCATTGTGTTTGAAAAGCCAGCAACGCTTGCAGTTTTTGCTGGTTTCCCGGTAGCTTGTGTAGAATATAGTGTAAGCGTTGGTGAACTTCCGTAGCCATTTTTATTTGCACAAACTTGTGCGCTGCTAGTTTTGCCAAGTGGGTCAAAAAATACTTCGAATATTGTTCTATTTAAATTTATTTATTATTGAAAACTTTATATACTTTTCTTTCTTATTTTCAGTTAGTACCGGCAGCCAAATGCCGTAGAAACACGTTGGCAAGGTGAGAACTATTGGCCCTGCAGTTTGTTGTTATCAAATAACTGTTCAAAGTCAACACCTTTGTTTGGAAAAGCTGGACGAAATTCAAGGTAAGCTGAATTTCACAAGTCCAAAATGACTATAATTGAATGTCTCTAGCACAATAGACCTAAAGTCGTGGTGCATTCCTCGTGTAATAACATAATCTCTAGCTTATACAATTGTACTTAATCTAAGCATGAGTGAGGAAGTGTTAAATATAAATTCGGCCGTTAAGTCTAAGTTCAATCTTCGGTGGCGACAAATCCGAAAATATATACAGAGATGAAGTCTATTGCTTAATTGGGAAAACCACTGAAAATCATTGTTGTCAGCACCAGAAAATAATACTCTAAATGTTTTGGTATTAATAGTTGAGGTGAAGATCATTTGTTGGTACTATATATGGCTCGTTTCGGTAACGCGGACTCCATTGTCTTGGACATGATTGACATAATAGTCACATAGGCGCCATTTGTGCTTTGGTTTACAGAAGAGAACATCGACAAGTTTTTGAACCGATCACCGTGATCTACTACATTTGATGAACGGCTATTTACTCGAACTTTCTCGCTTCTTCATTGCTAGGAGCCTAAAACCGTCACTGCCAAGGCCACGACCACCCTTCTTACCAACTGAACAAATGAGTACAGAATGGATCTATATATTTCTGTCGATAATGTGTAAATTCCTACGATAAATAATCCTAAAATGATAGGTTTCACAAACGGCAATATGCACTCTTTCTTTCCGCACACAACCGCTATTGTTACAAGAGTACAGAGCGGCAACAAGATGCTCAAGTCGCTAATCGATAGAGCTTGAAACAAAGACAAAGAAGCATTGTTGGCGATGCATAAGGTAATCGGCCGAACGGTCATTAACCACGCCACCCCTATATGGTCGCCTGCATGCAGCAGGATACCATTAGCGGAGATACAGAACTACGAGAACACCGCACTTCGGACTACAACGGAATGTCTATTGCTTTATCTTATCGAACATCTACGTAGTGAGGTCAGCATGTTTCCTGTGAACGTGGGTTTCTGCTCGGATGTCTTTGTGGGAACCATGTAATCCGCTTGAAGCAGAGCCGCCTCTTAGAAACATGAGTAGAACGTTTCTCCAACACGTCCACAACCGAGAACCATATATCGACCAGTTACGGATGCGATCAACTTCATTACTGCCTGCCAGTGAATGGCGTATTTGAGGTTCAAACACCACCAAGCACAGTTGTTGTGTAAAAAAAGGCGACCTAGACTAGACCCTGCCATACAAAACCTATTCCCTGCATACAAAGCATCCCCGGCTGATGCTAGTCACATTTTGGAATTCGCATTGTAACCTACTCGCTTAAAACCCCTCAAAGTATGAGCCAAACCCGTCGAAACAGCTTGTTTTCAGCGATAGCTAAGTATTGTTTTCCCCCGAACAGGGTTTATATAATCGTTACGACAACAGCAAGTTACCACATTTTTTTTTTTAAAGAGAATTGGAGAAAATATGATTTACTGCTGCTTTTGCCATAACTGCCGCAGCTGAATCCATCTCGCCACCTGACTTATTGACTTCAAATAAATCATCATTACACTTTCGCGCTGCCCATTTCATTGTTTATTCTTAATTCCTTAGCCAAACCAAATCGGATAAACAGTAACATTACCGGTACGACCTTTCGATTAACGTAACCCAATTGGGCGCCTACTACCCTACAAGGCTCTGCGTGCCACAAGCGGCACATAACCTCAAAGGCTTGACGTTATTTTCACGAGAAAGTAAATTCAGTTTTCACTATCTGACTTGCGGGCTTCATTTTGTTTGGCATATTTATATACGCACATCATTTACACACACTCATACGCATACATATATCATATAGTAAGCTTGTATATGTGCGTGCGTGGCAATGTTTGTTGGTTTGCGAGTGCAAATAAATTTAGTGCGAAATTAGAAACCAATCAACGGCAATGCTTCAATCGACTTCAATCGCTCAAAAGACATAGAAATATCGGTGTTTCTGTGCAAATGCATGTATGTATGTATGTTTTTTATATATTCATATATATATATATTACTCATGGCTGCAGTGCTATGCGCTAACAGTTATTTGCGCCTTGCGAATTTCCAAGCTATTTTCAAATTGGTTATCTTTGTAATTGTTTTGTGCCAATTGCAATTATTGTACGAAATTACCGGCGAAAACACGCACACATACAAACACACACACATGTAGAAACATGGTTAGGCATTTGTGAGCGATTTATGTCTATTATGATAATTTCTATGGCTGCTCATTATTATTGTTGTGATTATTATTATTATTGGCAGCCGTCGATTGTGGCAATGTGCAAATATTGCGTAAAAGGTTTTGCGAAAATGGCGATAATGCAAACGAGCATGGATTTATGGCTTAAAATGTAATTGCGGATACAAGAAGCGCGGCATTGGCTTGTACTACAAGCTTGGTACACATATAAATAAATAAATATATATGTATGTATATTTGCATTTGAAATATAAGCAATTGCAGCGCCAAAATCGAAGAAAATATGTCTGAGTGTGTGTGTGTGTGTGTATGTGTGCTGTCGAGAGGCCTTTACAGTGCCTGCGAAGGCTTTTGGTACTAAATAAGCGACGCTTGAGCTCCAACTTTGCCCCACAACTTTCCTAGAAATACAAAAATAAATGCAGAAAATCTAAAGCTGCTAATTAATAGCAACGAATGGCGCACGACAATAACACGCAACAACACCAAGAACACACATATTAATTTAAAACATTTTTTTCTGCAAAAGCTTATTAAAGCCGATTCCAGCAGTGGCCAAAGCAGGCGCTCGATATGCTCGATACACGTATATATGTATGCACATATGTTTCTATGAGTGGTTGTTGTAATTATACGAAAATATACAACAAATAATCACGCAACAATTAATTTAGCGCGATTTGCATGCAACAGCGAGCAGCTCCAAGTTGGAGTGACATTTTGTGCCAAGGAGCTGCGAACAATCAAAAACACACACATGAACACATATGTACATATACATATACATATACACATACATATATATATATATACATATTTAGACACATGTTTATTATACTAAGCGACATTGTATGCGGTAATTTAGTGTAATATTTTATGCTGATTTATGTTTAGCTGAGTTCGGTTTCGAAAGCACTCGCAGCCGGTAATTAAGCAAATCCATATGCATACTTACATATGCATTTAAGTAATTTTTAATTTTCATATCTTTATGTCGGTAATTGGAATGGCTAATAGGCATATTTTGGCAAGCAAAACGTGCCCCTCGAAAGCCTCTGGCCGAAATGGGCGTGAGCAAGCAGGTTTTTGTAATTTTACATCAATTTAAATTGAATTTTTTTATTAACAAGTAATATTATAGTTTGCGAAATATTTTTTTCTTACAAAATAAAAATGTGTTCTTTATCAGCGCCGAATTGAAGTGGCATCGGAGATCCGGTTTCTACTTATCTTGAGTACAGCGACACCTAAAGAAAATATGTAGCATGTGTTGACATTGGTATTAGGCGCCGGAGAACTGCACTGGGGAAGAACTATAGTCTATGGCTCAAATATGCAATACCTTGAACACTTTATAGACTTTTAGATGAGGTTTTTAAAATTTATTTCGAAATTCCTACAGAAATTGGCAACGAGAGTTCATCTTATAGTCTCATTCGATAATAACCTTTGGTTAAACTATATAACGGGTGATCCAAGTAGAGGTACTTGTTTCAAAAGCCTTTTCTGAGAGATCACACGTGATACTTTCATTCAGTTTTGTTTGGCATTTCATTATGGAAAGACTTGTGCCTGAACAATGTTTAAAAATCTTTCACTTTATTACGAAAATTCACGTTCAGTAAAGAATGTGTCTCGTGAGCTTCGCTTAACTTATGGCCAAAATATTCGACTTACTGAGGGAACTATTCGCAACACCATTACCCATCCAGATACCCAGCATTCATTATTGGAAAATATTCGACCGCTTAGACCGTATACAACACACAGTGAAGGAGGAATAGCAGGCGTAGCTGAGAGTGTACACGAAGATTGTGGAAAGTCAATTAACAAGTAAAATTGCTGCATTCGGGACGAAGAATGACCTGAAGAGATTCAAGAACTGTCATTTTATCCAGAGAAAACAACGATTTGGTGCGGTTTGTGAGTCGGTGAAGTCATCGGTCGATATTCCTTCAAAAATAATGCCGGTAAGAATATAACCGTCAATGGCGACAATTTAAGCCGACTATTTGATACCTGAAATAGAAGCTCGATATCGTGAATACATTTGTTTTCAATGAGACGGCGCCACTTCACACAGATCGCATCAATCAAGGGATTTATTGAGAGAATACTTTTTTAAGCAGATAATTCCTCGTTTTGGGCCGATCGATTGGCCACCAAAATCGTGTGAAAACTATTATAGAAGTGTAAACCGACGTTAAGCAACACCAAAAACTCCGTCGGGATCGCAACAAGCCTACGAGAGACGTTCACTCCAAAGCGAGGGTTTAGACAAGGAGACTCCCGTTCGATAGTCCTCTCTCGACGAACGAAGACCAAACTCTGCAAGCCCCTCATCATTCCCGTCCTGCTTTAAGATGCGAAGACATGAGAATTGTCAACATCTGATGAGTTGGCGTTAGGATTGTTCGAGAGAAAGAAGATTTAAGGTTCATTGCGCTTTGGCAACCGCAGTTAATGGAACGATCAACTCTACAAGATATACGGCAATATTGACATAGCTCAGCGAATCAAGAGACAGCGGCCACGCTGGCTAGGCTATGTTGTCCGCGTCCATATGGATGAAAACACTGCCGCTCTGAAAATATTCGATTCAGTACCGGTGGAGCAACAGAAAGACCTCCATTCCGTTAGAGAGATCAGGTGACCAAGGACTGGCGTCGAATAACGAAAAGAAGACACAACTGACGCGCTGTTGTTAACTCGGCTATAACCATGTAAGCGGCGTCTGCGCCAGTTAAGATTTAAACACTCTATATCTATATCTTAACTCCGTTACTGCACCTAGTTTTCTCA